TACATGTCTGTGTGGGTTTCCTCCAGGTGCTCCGGTTTCCTCCCACAGTCCAAAGATGTGCAGGTTAGGAGGATTGGCCATGATAAGTTGCCCACAGTGTCCAGGAATGTGAGGCTAGGTGGATTAGCCATGGGAAATGAAGTGTTATGGGGATAGGGCAGGGGGTGGGTGTGGATGGGATACTCTTTGGGCCGATGGGCCGAACGGCTTGCTTCCACACTGTACAGAAAAAGGCCATTTAGCTGATCAAAAACAACCACCTAACTATTCTAATCCCATTTTCCCACTTGGCCCATTGCTTTGTATGCCTTGGCATTGCAATCTACAGCTTCACTCCCAGGCTCATATAAATCAACTGATTTTGACTGCTGAGAAAACTAGAGGTGGTGATAAGCAAGGAATAAACAAAGACATCTCTGTCAATTTTGAGGCCTCCATTCAATCCATTGTAACCCAATAATTAATACAGCACAGGGTAAAGCTGAAATCTCCCCAGGGTGTGATGCAAGCTGCTGAGCCACAATGATAGTTGATGATGCACTCCAATGCTGATCCTGGGCAAATTAACAGTGTCAGTGGCAAGGCCTTATTCTCAAGGCCCTATATTGATGCCCACCAGTCATGCAGGTAGCTAGAAGCCTTGATCATCCCTTATCCGGGGCTGAAAGCCAGGATAGTTTCTTGAGCCATTTATAGATGAGGTTACCACCGTCCCCCAGAATCTTTCCTACCCAAGGAGTAAGAGATGGGTAGTTGGGTTGGCATTGATGTTGGGAATTTTGTAAAGGAAACACCTGACCTCTGTGGGGGTTCTAGCTCAACTGTTTTCTTTCTTGACCTATTGACCACCACTGATTTGTTAGAGTCACAATGCTGGGGTCACGATCCATGACAGAGACTGGGGACTCCAGGCAAAGAGAGATCCTTCTCCTGACCTTTCCTGTCCCTGCCCTTTAATTTGCCTCAGGCGGGATAGCTGGATGTTACACCACTGCGGACATTGACGTGAAACCTTGGGAAATTGTCTAACCTAACGTAACTGGATGTGATCCATATCTTTGCCAGGGGGTTTCCCTCTGCATAATGGCAGGACAGTGGTGCTGCCCTCCCAAATGAATTCAGGTTCAAGCTTGCTATTTGGCAAGAAGCAACTACTTGTATTGTTTTAAATCTGAACAAAACTCTGAAGAAATCTTGTTTTGTTAGTCAGACCAGTGAGGGATGAACCTGCCTAAAGATACTGCAATAAATGTGTAAGGAGAAAAGATTAAGATTGCAATTTTGCCTTCCAGCCATATTGAGATTGGGGGCACATTGATTAGTAATGTTTGACTGAGATTCACCCATATTGGATGAGCACTGTGTAACATACCAAACATGAGTAAGTTTTAAGGTTTGAGAGCTACAGATTACCCAAATAGGCAGACTTACAGATGGCACAATGTGTATTGATTGTTGTAGCTTCTGGTGGCAGCCTCTGCTCTCTCGGCAAAATGCAACCATAGTAGCCCAAGCCAAACATAGACATGCACGGGAATTCTTAGAGGCATGGTTCTCCACCCGTAATGCAATCAACAAATATACAGAATTGGACCCCATACACAAACCCAAACAGATCAAAATCAGAAATGACGGTACTCGCTCGAACAGATCAGACAGTATAAATTCCAAGCAGAGTAGAATAACGTCGCTTCATCGGAAGCCTCACTGATGATGTCACCTAGCATGGTGATGAAACATCTGAATGAAAACAAGCCAGCTCGGCGAGCAAGTCAACAATCTCACTGTTAGGGTTAGATGGAGGGGGTGTGAGAGGGCTCGTGCTACAAGTGCAATTATTTTTAATAAGCATCTCCACGGTGTCAAGACTCACAAGAAAATTCTCTAGGTACCTCAGCTCCCCAAACAATTCTGTTCCAATTTGCCAACCTCACCCAAGCTACCATTTGACTGTATCACACCAGAACCATTTTAGGACAAGCATCAACATCAGGAAATGCATTCATTTGCTGACAACCAGAAAAGACAATAGGTTCTGTAGCTTTCCTACAATGTTGGTAGAAGAATTGAAAAATCTTCAAGCATATTACGTTCATTTTTGATATTAAACATTTCATTCCATTGAAATGAAAGGTCAAGGTTAAAAAGATCACATTTCATGGTCAATACAAGGAAGCCTTTCATCAGATCAGTAACAACAAAGTAAAATATCAATAACAGTTACATTATTGACTGAAAGATTCAGGCCCAAACAATTGCTGGCTTTGAGGCTCTAGCCCCTGCTTTACAAAGCAGGTCAAACTTGCTGAAGTGTTATTGTTGTAGATATCAAATAGAGAGGTGCTGCTAACTTAAAAGATGCAGAAGGGAGAGACAAATTAGATTACTCTTCAAACAGCTGTAACAGGTACAATGGACAAACTATGACATTCTATGACCAAGAAAGCAATAGGTACAACCATGACAATGTGAGACTAGAAACTTTCACTGGGAAATTGCTACGAATGCTAATGCACCAGATAGCACCTTCTAAAATAGAGCCAAAACAAAATATCATGATAAGTAAATGGGTGGATAACATGAGAGCAGAGCCAAAAGAAGACATTGCTGTGAACAAAGCTCAGAGCATGGGAAATCTGCTGTCTTTACCTGGCCTGCTCTGACTCCAGAGCCACAAGCAGTTACGTCCAATTCCTTCTTGAAAACAGTTAATGTTTTGGCCTAAACTGCTTTCTGTTGCAGAGAATTCCACAGATTCACCACTCTCTGGGTGAAGAGATTTCTCCCCATCTCAGCCTTAAATGTTCTACTCTGTATCCTTAAACTGTGACACCTGGTTTCGTTTTGGAGCTCTGACTGACTCTGCTCCTAGACGTTTCAGTATTCTGCTCCAAGATGTTGTCAGTCTCCCAGTTATAACTAAGGTGCTGAGGCAATTTTAAAGCCTCAAAATGGGGCAAGATTGGGAACAAGATTGAGAAGTCCTGACTTAGAAGAAGTAACTAGAAGCATAAGCAAGGGTAATCCTGACAATATAAAATGCTCCAATTTTCAAGAGGTCTTCAGCAATGCATCACTAATCGTAAACTCAAGACTAAGATCAGCAGTTTGGGTAACTAACTAGCACCAAAACAGTGGAGTTTAATACACTGCTCAGGTTGATGGAAGATGAGAAATGATGCTCTACAGTCATTGATACCGTGACAGCTACTGTTCCCCACTGAAATAAACCAAGTACAAAGGAATTGGAAACATCATTTCACAGGCTGTGATGTACACTCAACTGAAGGGTATCGTTAATATTGAGGAAGACTAAGATAATACACAAGACGTGAATGAAGACAAGAAGAATGAACATGAATTATTACATTATTGATAAGTGTGACCCATTTTAGTAGGAGAAATAAAGACCAGATGCTGTTGAGAAAATAAGGGCATAAATGGGACAGTACAGAAATGGAGTACACTTTCACAAATCAATAAGTGCAGCAGTGTTAGAAGAAAAAAATCATACAAAGTACTAGCATTCATTTTTGCGGGCTTAAAATTGATAAGAAAGAAGGTTATGTTAAAATTGTATTTAACCGTGATTAAACTACACTTGGAGCTCTAGGTATGTGCTTGTTACCACGTTGCCAAAAAAGGACCTAAGGACACTGAAGAATGTTCATAAAGCTGACAGGGAAACAGTGATGTAATAGTTATGAACACAGATGCTCTGGTGACATTGATTCATTTCACTGTTGCAGCTGGTGGAATTTGAATTTAATGAATAAATCTGGCATTGGAAGTTTAAGTAATGGTGACTGTGATGCTATCATAGATTGTTCTAAAAACTCATCAGGTTCATATTGCCCTTTAGGAAAGGAAATCTGCTGTCTTTACCTGGCGTGTTCTGACTCGAGAGCCACAGCAAAGAGTTAGTGCCTTCTGAAATGGTTAAGCAAATCAATCACTTCAAAGTCATTGAAGGATATAGGCAACAAATGCTGTCCTTGCCAATAACACCCACATCCCAGGAAAGAAAGATTCACAAGAATTACAGAACCAAGAAGTGATAACTATCAAGAAAGGCTGAAATCTTGTGCTTGACCCTCAGTTGTTCAATGGCTTGAACAAAAATTTCAAATTTTTATCTTTGTTTTCAAGTTTGGCAATGGCCTCTCTCCTCCCTGTTTCAATATTCCCTTAGATCTGTCCGAGGTACGAGGCACCAAGTGGCTGCATGAACTCTGAAGCATAAATAGATGTCCAGCCAAGTTACACAAACTGTGCTCCTGCTCTAACAGGCCCCACTCTCACAGGCTGCTGCCTCTTGTAGGTCCTTCCCACCCACCCCTGTTCTCACAGCTCTCACTGAGGGGATGAGATAGTTTTCAAGCTTCACAATGGGGTCATAAGCTTGAGAATGTTTGGGAGGCAATGAATTATACAGATTAGGTTAGATGAAGTAGTATATGGAGAAGCTTGCATGGAGCACTGGGTGCAACTACACCAAGTGGATGAAGCATCTGTGATCTAGGAAACTGTGCTGTCATTCCATCAAATTGGTCAAAACTCATTCCTCAGCCAAGCCTATCCAGTGAATGATTCATTTCAACTGGGAGTGACAATCTGTACAGCACTGAAGTCCCTCCATCACCAGAAGAATAATATAGCAGGCAAACAGACAGGATGTCCTCAAGCCGTGACATTATGAGGTATTTTTGGATCAGTAACACATACATCACAATGACTCTGGGACACAGTGTTAATTCATGTGTGTACTTATGAAACATACAGGGTGCAAGTGAATTTTCACCCCCCTTCCCCCAGATTATGTATTTTCTTTGAAACGGATAAATTGAAACAAAATCACATAGGGTCCATGATCTGCATCAGATGCCCAACTCTATGCACCAGCTCATCATTGGCGTCTACTGCAATGTTTGGAGAGACATTGGGAAGACGCTGGTTGCAGGAGGCAGAGTTTAAAGGATTAGAGAGCGCCCTTTGCTCCGATGTCGCGACCTCCGGCTGATAGGGGGCAGCAGTCTCACAGCCCAGAGGATGGCGATGCAGCCAGCGGCGGCGGCGGCTCCTCCTGCTCTCGGTGCCCGAGCTCGGTGCCGATTCCTGCCTCTTTCCAATCGGAGGCGGAGCCTCGGCCCGTCCCTCGGTGCACATATAGCCCGGGCAGAAGCCCGGCCGGACACAGGAGCCGGGGTATGGAGACTGAGGTGCATGTCCCGATCGGGGCTCCCGCCGTGCCCAAGTTCGCCATCTACGTGGACGAGACTGACGTGATCCCCGGCGCTTTGGCGCTGATCGGCAAGCTGCGGCCCAAGTGGGACGTGAGCCAGGTGAAGACCAAGGTAAGGAGCCGGGAGTGGGAGTCCTGCCTCCCTGGGGGGGGGGTTTGACAGGGGCGCTGGCTGCCCTCCCAGCTCAGGTGTAGCGCCGGTATCAGATACAATCTGATACAATCCCAAAACTAGATACAATCCCAAATGGATACATTGTTACATCAGGCGGCGGCTCCATACATTCTGTTTTGATACAGTTTTCTTCTGCGGAGCTGGGCCAGAGATTCATTTTCCCTTTTTGTTTAAATATTTGGGGATACATTGTAATCCTTCCCCCACCGACCTGTCCAGAGGAGATCGAAGTGGGATCCTAACAAACAAAAAACACCAAGTTGCTGGAAAAGCTCGGCAGGTCTGGCAGCATCTGTGAAAATTCTTTTCCTCAGAATTGGAATCCTACCCCCACCCCTGACTTTTTATTGCTAGGCTCACTACTTTTCTTCCCCCCCCCCCCCCCCCACCCCCAAAACCTGTTTCCAGATTCAGTCTCCCCACCACACCCCTCCTCTCCACCCTTTTGTTGTTGGGTACCCATCTTCTTGCTCACGCCAAGCATGACACCTGTTGAAAGTGAGACGTTGTGCCCTGAATGTGACCAGGAATCTCAGTACAATAGATAGGAACCACGTTCCTATCGAGTGTGATCTGCTTATGTATCATTAAGATGTGAGGTGCACTGTGTAATTTAACTGCAGTTCAGCCTTCAAGCTAGTAGTTAAGTGTTTCCTACTCCTACTCCTACTTCTATCCCACCCCCTACCCTCTACTGAAGAACTGTGGCTGGGAAACTGGTTACTGATCTCAGGATGCTGAATCTTGTCCAATGTACTTTTTCTTACACACCACTTCAAATTTGTAACTTTACTAATGACACACTGAAGTCCAGTTCTTTGTCAGGTACAAGCTTGCACTCAACCCCAAGGGGCTCCTGTAGTGCAGTGGCAGTATCTGTAACTCTGGACCTGGAGGCCAGGGATCAAGTCCCACCTGCTCCAGGTGTGTGTAATAACTCTGAACAAGCTGAGAAAATACCTGCACTTAACCCTGAAGGCTGTGCAAATGTATTGTACAGTTCTTCAAAGGACTCCTTTGAACCCAGCAGTTCCCATCCTTTGGGTCTTTTTGGGACTTTTGACAGTTGTATCATCACACTTTTTTAAAAGCATTTACCTTGGGTGTTTGTAACCTTTTCTAAAGAAGAGCATCTTCCTGGATGTGATTTTCAATTTCCTATTTACTGTGTAACTTTTAATTCTGTTTTAAATCCACATTTTGGTTCAATTCTTACTTCAAAGGGGTACATTACAGCCATACAAATCTGGAAATAGTCTCCTCTTGGAAGCTAAGTAGATTCAGGCCTGACTGGCTCTTCAGTTGGAGACCACTTGGAAGTACTTGATGGAGTAGAGGGGGATCTTGTGATCCAGTGCTAGTGTCTCCTGGCCCAGGAGATTCTGATTGGGTAAGGTGGAATTTCATAGGTATGTCATAACATGCCTGAGCCAGCTGGTTTTTGTTAATACTTTTAACACACTTAGTCACCAATTCAAATAACTATAGTATCTGACAAAATATTGTGAAGACAGTCTCAGCTGCATTAATAGCTACTGTGCACTTAAGAACTTAATGTGCATTATTTTAGTGCCTTTTGTATTCTCAGACTATCCCATACTTAAATGGTTTAGTGTTTTTCTGAAATATAGTCACTGCTCTAATGTGGGAAACAGTTAATATTGCACAGTAAGACCTTTCAAACAGCAATATGATAATGACCAGAATCTATTTGAGATGTTGATTTGAGGGATGACTATTAGCCAGGAAATTTTTCAATAGAAAGTCCCATTCACAAGTGGGCAGAAAGGAGGCAGGGATGTCACTTTAAAATCTTAGTCAAAGGACAGTACATTTTGGGAAATGGTGCCATAGTGGTCATGCTACTGGGCTAGTAACTTGTATGACCAGCATAATTCTCTCTATGGCAGCTGTGAAATGACTTTCATAAATCCATCCAATTCACTAGATTTTTTTTTTGGAAGGAACATGGCCATCTTACCTGGCCTGGCCTCCCTGTGACTCCAAACCAACAGCAATATGGTTGACTCTTTACAGGGCTTTGTTCCAAAACAGGTAGTCCATCAATGCTGGCCTTAGCAGTAATGTCCACATCCTTGTAAGTAATAAATATGGACAAGGTGTCTACTGGTGGTTTAGCACTCTGTGTAATACCAAGATGTTTGGGGTTCAAATCCCGGAATAGACTTGAACCCAGAACTTCAGATAATTAAACTTCTTGCCTTCAAACCAACTGTGATCCTCAGTGAGTAGACAAAGGTCATTCATCCTTCACTTCCTGGAGATGTGCTGGCTCAATGCTCCAATTATTTTAAACTGTCTTGCTAGAACTAGCAATTGAAAGAGCATTTTTTTCAGGCTGGACAATTTGGAAAATATTGTCACATTTATCCTTAATATGAAATGTTTGCAACTCTTTTCACTTTGACCCTTGGTTAAAAATTTCAATTACTGAGAAGGAAACTGCTGGAAAGAAATTTGAGAATTTTGAGCAACTTGTGTGGAGGAGTGGCCAAGTTATGTAATCATGGTGAGAGATTAGCACAGACAGTTTGTATTATGTGCAAGAACCAGTAGCAGAAATGTGTATTTTTAGGTAAGGACAACATTTTTAAACAGTGAGAGCTAGACTTGTGTGCCTTGGTGTTGATGTTGGATAGAGTACTTGTGGATTAGAAGGCATGATGTTAGAGTTGATGTTTGTAAAATGATAGGGGCAAAGAGTAACAACTGGTCCCTTAAAAGATTGCTTTTAATCTCCAAGCCCAGGAAAAGCACATGTCTACAAGCAGCAGCCTACTGGTTTGCAGGTGCATAGAGAACCCCTGAATTGAAACACTTGTATCAAAAGGCTGTGTGGTTAGCAATTCGGGCAACAGTTTTATTATCAAGACAACCAGTTTGAATCAGCCAATTGAATAAGCCAGGCACTTTAGTCTAAAAAAACAAATTAAATTTAAATCTGATGGTTTTGACAGCATAGGACCAATCCTATTGTAAGAAATTGACACGTCATCAAGTGTATAAAGGGGCATTCGCGATCAGCTCTTGGAGAAAGTATCACTGCACTCTTAGCTAATATTCCTGACACAAGAATTTGAAGGACAAGGTGTTCCTGACAGAAGATCAGCAGAGAACGTACAGAACATTCTGGAGGTGTGCCCTGGCTATGATTTCAAGGGACTAAGTTCTAATTGTTTTATTACTTCACTTTTTATATAAGTGGGACTTCTATTTATTAGACTAGCATACCATAGAGTTTTCTCATTTGGGCATATTAGTAGCTAGAGGGGGAATTGTTTGGTTTGTTAATAGTTCAGTTAACTTGTCTGCTGTTAGATTTAGATTAAATTGTTACATTTTGATTATAAAGGGAGTGTCAGCTTGTTTTAGTTAACCACTCCGTATATACAAATTTGGGGGTGAGATGCAGGTTATACTACTTTTAATAGACTATAGGGCAAGGCAAGCCTCTCTGGGTGCTTTGGTTTTAGAGGGTGGTTGACCTTTGCTTTATAATACTGGCTTAGTTGTAGATTTTGAAGTCTTGGCAGTGAAAATACCTACTGAGAATGTGATTTGAGATGGTGTTTTCTAAGTGACAATTCATTTGGATGTCTTCTGCTAGTCACTTTTTTGCTCTTGACTCTCTAACTTGGTAACAAGAAAGCATATTAGAATCTTCAGAAGAAGTGAGCTGAAGCTTTGTAAAGCGGAGTGGTACAACATGTTCTATGTTCAAGTGGCTAAGTCAGAATACAACTTTTTTCAAAACTTATTTATCACTTCACCTGCCAGAATTGGCAACTATTGAACATAAACCTCCACTTTTCAAAGAAGTTGTAATGTTAGGAAATGGCCAAAGAACAGGAAAGGGCATGTATCTTGACAGGGTTAAAGTATAGATCAGCCATGACTTCAGCCAGTGAGTTTAAGATGCTGAATTAGCTACTCCTGTTCTTCTATTCCTAACTGGATTTAGAGTAGCTAGCTTCATGTTAAAGGCTAATACAGTAACAGCTGAATGGCAGTTACCATGCTGTAATTGGTGTAGTCCTGCTGTATGCTTGATGTTAGGACAGTATGTAACTGCTGAAACTAGGCAATTGAATATGTGAATGCATATTCAAGGTGTATTGTCATCCCACAATAACAAGTCCAAATGTACAGCTTTTGGGATGGAGTTCATGCCACTTGTTTTGTGACCTGTTTCCTCCTTGTATTTACCATCTCGAGCCTTTCAATTTTGCCATGGCAGTCCCTGGGTTATCCAACAGGAGGTCAACCATTTTCTCTCCAGATTGGGAAGCGGGTGGCTGCTACTATTCAGTATTATCATCAATTCACCTGCCAGAATTGGTGACCATTGAACATTAAACCTCTTAACTTCCTGCTGGATATCCCTCTCTCTCTCCTCCATTTGTGGCAGTATTCCAAATGTTATGGTGAATTCCTGTGCCTATGTATGGAGGAGCCTCATTGAGCTTTACTGCTTACAATCATGACCATTGTCTTTAGAAACTGGAGTCAAATTCTAATGGGAATTCCAAACTGTTATCCCAGAGTGGTTTCTCCAGTGAATGGAGATGGGTTCAATTAATGTATGTAAAGTGAATCATTTCCTAGAATAAATTTGGTTTGGGAAATTGAGATTCCATAATCCAGATTTGAGTTAATACTAAAACATTGTCCACCTAGTAAGGTCCTTGCCTTGAACTCTCTCATTCATTCAAGAATAGAAACATGTAGTATCTACACAACATTGGAGATATGCACTTCTTTGGACCTCTTGGAATGTATGTATTTAAAGCAGTAACTTCCCATTACTTTAGTGTCAACCACTATTCAGTCAGTAGTGCAATTGCTTTGAGTCAGAAGGTTTTGGAATCATGTCCTTTAGTGATCAGAACCAGGGCCGGGTGGGTCTCATTGACCAA